AGCAGAAAGATGGAACAAAATCCTTAGTTCACAGCAGCTGGGCAGAGCAGCAGGGCAACAGTGGCAGACAGGACGGGGAGGACTGGATAGAGTGCCGGGGCCTCCTGGAGCCCCCACACCTGGACGCACGCTCTGAATTTCTTCTGTGGCTCCCAAGACAGTCAGACAACCCAGCCTAAGCCTCCCGCCCCTGTGGTCTCGCCCTGTTGTTTAACTCTCCCTTTGGTATCTGTGTATGTATCCTTCCTTATCTCTGGGTTCTCTGTTCCTGCGGCCCCCTCTAGTCATGTGTACCTTTTCACCCTGCTCAGAATGCAGTGCCAACACCCTTTTCCATATGACGGTTTCCCTAAGAGCAGTCTTCCTTTACTTCAGTCATCAGAGAACAATGGGAACAATGGCTCTGAGATTGCATCTTCCTCTGGAGCTATCTGCAGTGTCCCCGGCTGGCAGAGAAGATAGTTCATTAGCTATTGATCTGCTCTGCAGCCCCAACAGTGCCTCCCTTATGGAGGCTGGGACATGTTTGTGGAGTTAAGTTGGGTAAAGTTTAAGTCCTGATTATGAGTGCTAGTGCTGGGAGAAACTGCCAGAGGGGTTTCGGAAGATTCAGCTGCTGCTTGATGGATGGGACAGAAGCGCGGATGGAGCGGCGAGGGGGCAGTTAGGGTTTTCTGGTCCCCTGTCTTACACAGCCTGCGAACGCCGTTCTGTGACCCGCACAGTGTGCTACCCAGAGTTCTGAAATAAGGTCAGTTTTCTAATCCTTAGAAGTGAGTAGCAGCCTACACTGGGGAGTGCAGAAGGGTGGAAAGACGACGTGGTGTTAAAGCCCAGCTCATGTGAGCATACATGTGACTGGTTAAAAATAAGTCTTTCAAAATTAGAAAGATGCATTTGATCCTAAAAAGATTCAACAACTGGAATCTCATCTTACTAAAAGCTTTTGCATAGCGAAAGAAATCACCAGCAGGGTGAAAAGGTAACCCACAGAGTGGGAAAACATCTTAGCCAGTTGTTCTTCGGACAAAGGACTGCTGTATAGAACATATAAAGAACTGAAGAAACTCAGTCCTCCCCCGTATTTAAAGACCCAATACAAAAATGGACATCTGAACTGAGCAGACATTTCTCAGAAGAATTACAAATGGCAAATTAAATACATGAAAAAGGTTCAGCATCACTGATTAAGAGATGCAAATCAAAACAGCACTGAGAGTCCATCTCACTTCAGAAGGAATGGCCATCATTAGGAAATCAACCAAGAATAAATGCTGGCAGGACGGTGGGGAGAAAGGAGCCTTCTCCGCTGCTGGTGGGAATGTAGACTGGTGCAGCCAATATGTAACTCAGTGTGGAGACGCCTCAAAAAATTAGGACGATTTGACCCAGCTAGTTCCCTTCTTGGTATCTTCCTAAAAGAATTAAAATCATCAAAGAATTAAAATCTATATATGTGCACCCATGTGTATAGCACCACAGTTTGTAGTAACTAAATCTTGGAAACAGCCCAAATGCCCATCAACCAATGAGTGGATAAAGAAGATGTGTGTTTTTATACAATGAAATAGTACTCAGCCATAAAAAAGATGAACTTGAGACATTGATAGCCAAGTGCCTGAACCTGGAGACCATACTCTTAAGTGAGATAAATCGGGCACATGTAAGTACCGCGTTCTCTCTCTGGTATGTGAAACTGAAAGTATAAATAAGAATCAAAATGTATAATAGATACTGTGAAGTAGGAAGTAATTGTTCCAATAGAGGAATTTAGGGGAATGGAAGGAAGAGAAAAAATGGGGGAAAAAGGATATAATGGAAACAAAGCCTTGCAAGTTAGGAGGGCGGAAGGAGTTAAAGGAAGGGAAGGGAGTTGGGAAAAAAGGAGCCAAGATGTCCACCCTCGGGGGCAGATTCCCTGGGACACATGAGGTCATCATGCGCATCTAAATTGTACCAATAAGCAATTGGAAAAGAAACATGATTCGCAGTATTAACTGAAGCACCATAACTGGTGCTGTGGGGGTCTAGTAACAGTCTCTCCACCGCAGGGCAGAGCTTCCTGACAGCTAAAGTGAAAGACGAACATTGCCTGTTAACTTTTTGGCGGTTGAACCATAAAATGGCCCTGAAATCTGTATATTTTCTGCAGTGCTCTGAGTTACTGTTCAGGTGAGCACTCGTGGAAGCTGGTGGGTGACTTGACAGCTGCCTGAGCTCACCTTTGGTGCTCGGTGGGCCAGAGCAGCTTCCCCGAAGAGTTAGTGGAGAAACCCAGGTTATCTTTCATCTGGGAAAAGCGTCTCCAGGGAGTTCGGAAATGAGCTGCCCACAGTGGGCCCTTCCGGTCCTCTGTCCTGCCACCCAAGTCTCCCGGGATCCAGAGGCGGTCTGCCGCAAGCAGCTCTTTATTTTTCTGAGGGGTTTGAGAAGCTGTGATTTGCTTTCGTGGCCTGTAGTTCCACTGCGCACGATTATGAAGCTGGTTATTTCAGGGAATTGCTGTGTATGCTTATTGTCTGCTTTACTTTAGGATCTGCCATAATTCTGATATAAATAACTTCTATAAATTCAGATATAAATAGCCATATTCTTATATGAATAACATACCACTGAAACACCACAGTGGGATTTTAAACGTTAATTAGTAACATCACAGTAGAAATTATATTTTACCATAATAGAACTATCTTAATTTAGTCTACTCATGAGCTATTAAAAGCAAATATCTCATAGAGCTCATTAATGACTATTAATATTTTTAAATATAAACCACCAAAGATTGTATGTTACATTACATTTTAATGATCTGCTTCATAATGTAAATTATACCTTTATATTTTTGTCTGGAAAGAAAAATACACATTTCATGGAGTGTAGTAATTCCGATCAGGTCATTTCACTTAGCAGTTGTGTCAGGGGAGCAGAAATGCTAGATGATTGTGCTAGTGGAGAGTGGCTTTCAGGTCCTGTTGTCACTCATCACACCTTAGCTTCCCCTCCTCGCTGCAGCCCCGAGATTGGCAGCGCCCGCTTATCTTACCTCTCTGCATTTCCGATCAACAACTGTGTCAGTCCCGTGCAATCAGGGAAGAGGAAAACCACACAGTGCTTGCAGCAGGGCAAGCTTATTTGTACATGAAGAGTTACTGACTGCCGTAGTGAGCGGGGTGCCGAGGCACTCCCTAGAATCACAGGGAACAGCAGGTTAACATCCTGTCATCTATCCCTGCAGGTAACAAGCCCCCTAAGACTGAGAGGGCCCCAAAGTCCTCATCCTCCCGCCCCCATCAGACACAAAAGCCTTCATGGAGAGGGTGTAGTGGTGGCTACCAAGGCAGCGAGGTCGCTGTGCTGACCCACTGGTGGCATCCACTGGGAATCCACCATCAGGGCCCAGGTGCCCCCTGGAAGCTCTGCCACAGACACGCCTGGGTATCACTGCTGGCCTTGGGGGCTGTCCAGCAGGGGACGGATGCCAGGAAAGCTGCAGGTGTCCTCAGAGCCCACAAGCGTCAAGCCACAGTTGGGACAAAGTCTTTTCTCCCTCAGTGTCCCCACATCTGTGCAGGACTGGGAGCAGTGCCAGCTCAGACTGAAGACCCTGACCCCTTACCAAGGCTGCATTAGGAACTGAGGGGAAGTAACTGACACCCCCAATGCGTGGTACTAAAATGTGGGCTCTATAGTAGTCACTGCTACATGAAGTTGGGGTCCAGTGTCAGAGAAGTGTTTGGAAGTGAACTGCTGTGACCGCCAGCTGGGCTGTGGCACCATCTGAGGGGTCATGGCGGGCGAGACATTTTACACTGCTGGCACTCAGTATCTGCTGATACAGACTGAAAGACTTGACATAAAACAAATTTACCGTATCCCTTACACGGGCTGTGTCAGTAATTGGATCTTGGGGGAGTGCTCTATTTAAACGCGCTGTTTCATGGAAATGTGATTAGTCATTTAAACTGAATAAATCATCTGACTACATTGCCCCTAATAGGGAGGAAATTTCACAGCCAAGGAGGGACTTACTTGTATATATTTTCTGACGTAGGCTAATGGGCCAAATTATCTTAGTTGGCTAATAAATCTGACTCCCTGTAAAGTTCTCCCTGATTTCCATAGTTTCTCAATAAAGAAAAGGGGAAAGTAGATCGTGCTTCAGAAGCCTTGTGGATTAGCAGGATTCCTGAGTTATGCGTCTAAACAGGTGTGAAAAGAGACACTTCTCCAGTGTAGTCACCATCGAATTCATCCGTATTTATTTTTCTCCACGAGTCTAAAGTGTGCACACCTCTACAGCTTTGTGAAGCATTCTAACTAAAGTAATTAAATTAGAATAAGTATAAATTAATTGCACTTAAAAATCAATATAATTAGATAAGAAATTTTTTCTGATTAGTATTAAGCGATCAAGGCTGTAAAACTAACCCAGCTCACTGCCTATTTTTAGCTCAGCTCACATCATTCAAATAGATTTAAAGAAAATGGTTTTGATGGAGTTGTTCTCATTAGAGTTTAACTTCTTCATCGTCCTTTCAACCTAGATTGGCTGTTATCAAATATGAATGTGAAAGTTATCAAATCACGCTATTTTATGATACCAAGCTTATAAAAACTCTTATAGACCGAGTCAGAGTCGTATTGAATGCAAATATAAGGATCAGATAAATGAAAGCAACATTTCCACCAGCGGCACGTATACTTTCTGCAAAGCGACATTGTCAGGTTAAACGAGAAGAGGAACTGGGTGGCCTCCACGTGTCGGGTAAACCTGTAGTTGATTCTCACACGCTGAGGAGCACAGCCTGACGGGGCTGCTTTTCTCTCTCGGTGCTGTGAAAGACACGACAGTGCAGGAAGAAAAGCGGGGCCTCCCTTGGAGCTCTGCAGTAAATGAAGGGAATTTTGCGTCGGAGGCATTTGGTGCTTTTTTGAGTTTTACAGTGTTTTTGTAGAGCAGCTCTAATGTTTTGATGTGATTTCTGTATTTTACTTTTTAGCTTCTCCATGGGTGGATAACAGCAGAACTCCAAACAAGATTGACCTTTATGATGTACGCCGGAGACCATGGTAAGGATTTTACACTAACGATAAAAAATAAATAAGGAAATAGAGAGAGACCAAAGGAGGTCCTGGCTTTTTGTTTCCGTTATTAGGATGAGATATGGGGAGTGTAACTGAAGGTGGAGGGCAGGAGAGTTGAGGGCTGTGAGGGCTGTTGTTGGCACAGGGGGCAGAGTTTATCTCAGAGGACCCCCTTTATCTGGGAGCTCTCACTCCCTGTAGCCAGCGGGGGTCTTACAGGACTGCTGGGTTACTCTCAGGACCCCAGCAGGGGGTTGATGAAGGCTAGGACAGCTTTCACCTCTGGCTGCGAATTAATGAGAACTGACCCCAAGGTAGGAGCTGCCCTGGGTTAGACTTGCACGGCTTAGGGTTTGCTTTTTCCTGAAGAATTTGTACTTGTTCCCCGCAATTTAGGGCAACTCATTCTCCTGGTGCAGAGCTTGGAAAACACCAATAAGCCATAGTTGGACTCAGTGGGAAACAGTTGTTCATTTGGGGACATTGTACCAGTACTTGGGCTTCCAGTGTTCTAAAAGTATGTTCACTGTAAGATACTGCTTCCTTGCCGTGTCCCTCTAGGAACAGCACGGTGTTTTGTACTCTCCTCTTTTCTTAGCAGTGCCTCTGTGTGCATGTTCATGACCAGAGACCCTTTGCTTCACGCAGAAGTGCACTGTGTGGTAACTGTGTAAAGACTGCTCTGTGCCTGGGTATTTAGGTTACTCTGCATTTCCCGCTGGGGTTCAGGAGAATTCTAGGTGCACACTTGTTGATTCAAAGGATGGGCTTGCGAGGCATTTCAGAGCCCTGCTAAGGGTCCCAGGGGTGACCTCCATGAGTCCCAACAGCATGACCCCTCCTCGTGGCAGTATTTCTCCTGTGTGTCACACTGCTAGTGGGGACAAAGCCACTGTGTCACTGGTTTGGGTTTAGAAATGGATCCTCTGGGGAGAAACTTAGAGACTAGAAGCCAGCAGCCAGGGGAAGACTGGGTGCTGTGCCTGGCTCCTCCCGGTGGGAAGCACCCATGGACACACAGAGGCAGCGCAAGGGAGAAGGGGCCCCTGTGCCAGGGGTCACTTGTCACGCTGCCTGCAACCCTCCCTGGGAAACAGGCAGGGGTTGGGGTGAGCTCCACTGCTTTGTGGATGAGAAGGTCCAGGCTGACACCCTGTGCCACCGCTGTCTGGAAGCCCCCAGGGAGGCTCCCGGCAGGCCCCCCGAGTCCTGGCTGTGGAGAGCTGGGCTTAGCCTCTGATCGGTCTGTGAGCAGCGGCCCGAGCACTGGGGTCACTGAGGTCCAGCTTTCCCGCAGCCAGGGAGCCATCAGCATAATACCCAGAGTCGCAATGCAGTGCCGCGATCCCAGCTAGTGGGGCTGTGGCTGAATCTGAGAATCAGCATCTTAAACTCACCTGCTGGCTGGTTCTTGGTGGGACACGGTAGAGTCCTGAGAATCCTCACTTGAAAGGGTTGGTGATAGCATTTCATATACAATTTTAGTTTCCTTGTTGGCCTATTGTGTTTATCTTTTTGTTGATGTTACTCTTTTTAGATCCCTAAACCACTTTTTATTTAATTCTTTTAAAATTTTTGAATCAGGGGTCTCACTATATAGTTCAGGCTGGCCTTGAATTCATAGCAATCCTCCTGCCTCAGCCTCCCAAGTGCTGGGATTACAGGCAAGCCCTAAGCTACTTTTTAAAACTGCTTAAGCCACCTATTTATTTTATTTTATTTTTTGTCTTCAGTAGTAAGACGATCTGTTATTTGATGACGTTAGGTCTGTGGTTAGTGACTGAGTTTGGGAAAATATGTTTCCTATAATTTCAGTTATATACCAGTTATTTTCTCATGAAAAAAGTCCTTCTGCAAGTTAATTTCCCCCAATATTTACATTAGCCTCCATCTTTTTTATAAATAAATGGAAAACATACTCTAAATGTCGCATCTTGGGGCTCTCAGTGTTGTGTTTGAGGGAGCCTTTGGAAGCTGACACTACAATAAAACCGTTCTGTGCAAGACGGAATAGCGCTAGTTTTTTGCTGAGAACTTAGCTCAGAGCCCTGTAAGTGGCAGTGTGACAGTGCGGATGTTTGATGCACTGCGGGAGAGAAACCTTCCGTGTCCTTGTTCCTTTCAGGTATATCCAGGGCGCAGCCTCTCCCAAGGACATGCTCATTCTGGTGGACGTGTGAGTAGCGTTACGTTCTGTATGGTGAGAGGGTGAGCGGATCTGTACGTGGCCCTAGTGTGTCAGGCCTAAGAAATACATGATGGGGTAAAAAAAACCCCAATAATTATGATAGTTTTGTATCCAGAAATGCCATATTAAGATAATAGAAACCAGCAAAAACTGCTTGATTGGAATGAGGAGAACCACAATGGCAAATGATGGCATTGTTCTAAAAATCAGAGTCTTTTGAAAAATTATTGATTGGCTTCCAATTTTTGCTTTATGTTGAGGACAGTATTAAAACACAGAGTCGCTAAAACCAAGCAGTTCCTGATACAACAAAAAGCAAAGGAAACAAAACAAACTCATTCAGCAGGCACTTAGTGATTAGTGAGTCAGTTAATGTTTAGGGGTTTGTCCTCAAAGTCAGTATTAAGCACCTGAAATATCTGCACCTGGGCTTTTTCAATGCAAGAAAAACATCTGTAGAGATTTTTTCACTTTGGCCCTTTTGCTTATTTACTCCCTTGCTTTAAGTTAAGGTGCACATGAGAGCGTGCGCACCAGTGCCTGGCGACAGCTCGCAGAAGAGAGGGTCACAGAGGGGGCAGTCAATGGAGACACGAAAGAAAACTGAGCCCTGAGTCCCGGAGCCTGAGGGCTGCAGGGCGCAGAAGGGGTATGGTGGCCCAACATGTAGCATCATGGTTGCCAGGTGGCCATGTAGTCACTGGCCTAGGCCAGTCCCCAGGGGCTCCTGGACAAGGACTCTGCCACCCATCTGGGCTTGCTTCTAACCTGACTGCCAAGCCACTGCTTAATACATCTTCCTTTTTTTAATTTAAGATTTAAAAGACACAGAAAAGAAAAGCAAAAAGCAATACAGACAAACAAAAACTACAAGAAACCAAATACAATAACAGTATAGGTTTAGAAAACAAGATGGTAGGGATTTTGACAATGGTTGTAATATTGTGTATTGTTACCTTCAAGGGGGTTGCTTAGATTAACAGATATAGACATGTAAAACTGATCTAAGCATATGATTATTAACTGTTCTTTTCCAATAACTAATACAATTAGTAGTATAGTCAGTTTAGCTATCATGTATGTGTGTCTTTTCTTTCTTTCCTTCGTTCCCTTATTCCAATTACTTTTCCTCTTTGAACAGTTTCTTGCCCTTACACAGTGTTCTCTGTAGATTTTGGAGCATGCATAATTTTATTTTTTTATTTTATTATTATTATTTATTTATTTTTGGTACTGGGGATCAAACTCATGACCTTGGGCTTGCCAGGCAGGCGCTTACGCCACCTAGCTAAACCCCCAGCCACGTATATAATTTTAATTCACCTTCCTGCATGAGCAAATGTGCCGTGAGTGTCCATCTGTATATTTTAAAAGTTGTCACTTGCCATATAGCATTAACCTGTCATTAAGAAATGCATACTGGGGGCTGGGAATTTAGCTCAGCAGCATAAGCACCTGCCTTGCAAGCACGCAGTCCTGAGTTCGATCCCCGGTACCGATAAAAAAAAAAAAAAAAAAAAGAAAAAAAGAAAAGAAAAGATATGCATACTGACTTTGGCAGGCAAGGAAAGCAGTGCTTCTTATGGTTTCCGCTCTGCCCAGAGATCTTTTCCTTTTGATTTTTTTCTAGTGGTTACTTAGGATAACTGTGTTAGTTGAGTGTGATGTACATGGTCTAGAACTCTGCTTCATGGTGTGTCCACTGAGTAATGTGCCGTTTCTCTCCTCACAGGAGTGGCAGTGTCAGCGGCTTGACGCTGAAACTGATCCGAACGTCGGTCTCTGAAATGCTCGAGACGCTCTCCGATGATGACTTTGTGAACGTCGCCTCTGTAAGTAGGAGATGATTGCATTTCTTGAGTTCCCTCTTCAAATCTTGATTGTGTCCGGAGGATCTCTGGTGCTCCCTCAGGGCTGCCCCACTGCGCTGTCCCCCTGGTCACTCAGTCCTCCCTTCTGTGCCAGTTCCCGAGTGGGGACCCTGCATGGAGTCACGGACATGGACAGCACAAGGGAAAAGCAGTGTGCGGATTCTCCTTACTCGGGGGCCGGGGCAGGTAAAGCAAACCCCCACACTGTGGATGCCTGGGGGGCTCCCAGCAGCCATCTGGGCAGATTTCCAAAGCAATTTGCTACCCGCCGAAAAGTCACTTTTGGACAAATAGCCATCGTGCATTATGACCCAAGCGTCTTTTTTCTTTTTTGTAAATAATACAAGAACCAACAGGCAGTTGAATGAGCTCAGAACTGTTTTATGTTTCTTACATCTAGAAAACACTGAACTCTGAACCAGTGAAAACACCAGTGGGTATCAGCACGTCTCGTTTTACTTCACAGAATTTAGGCAGAGTATTGCCTGCCTTGCATTTTCCAGGAGCTGTAACTGCACACTGAAGTGGTTAGGGGCATAGTGATGTCGCTGGAGAGCTGGACACAGCAGTGAGGCTGCTTTGTATTGGACGTTAGAGAACGGATCTGTCTCTGAACTCGCTTGGGAGGGAGGTGTCAGGTGCGCGTCCGGGATGGGTTTTTCTCTTTTGCCTGGAAGAGGAGGGTGAAGGAGAGGCAGGGACCTGATAGAATCATTTGTGTGCTGAAGCTGCAGGTAACTAGTTGGTGACGTTTACTAAGGCTCTCTGTGAAACGTGTTTAATGAGCTACTTCTGAATAAGGGTAGCTACAGTAAACAGAACCCATTATCTAGGATACAAGAGACTAGAAAATTCCTCAGAGGTGACGTGGTTCCCCGGGGGAACAAAGTGGAGGTATTTCATAGTTCAAAGAAACTATAAGGAACACTGTGGATTCTTTCCATGTGGTCGGAGCTGGGCGTCCCACACAGGAAGAAGGAGACTGTAGGAGCTGTCCATCCTCCACACCAAAGCTCTCTGCTTCATGGAAACCTCAGGAACCCCTGTGCTAGCTGTCATCCTGGATGTTTTTAGTAGAGTTTGATCCTGTATAAAATCTCTGGTTTATGGTAGTCTGATTTTATAGTCTGACCCCATGTGTTAGCTCACCACTTATTTCAAAAGAATATGATTTAGCTTCACTTGTCTGTAAACATGTAAATGATAGGAGCATTGGGATAATCACTAATAAAATACTGTCCTTGGTTAGCAAGGAGAAAAATTTACACACAATGTACAGCACATTTGGCATGACTTCTTAAATTTATATGAAAGCAGCCCATCTCCACATCTTCTGGCTTCCTCCATACTAAACTTGGATCATGGTTTGGAGCTGCTGGTTTATCAGGGTGGTGATCACAGGACACACGACTGGGTGACCTTCAGGGAGCCAGGCAGGGAAGGTGGAAGCCAGCTACAGGATCTCAGTTACACTGAAGGGAACTTCACTCTGCTACTGGACTCTGGAATCACACAGGACGGTCACTTCAGAACCATCCTGCCCATGTTTGGTACCCTCTTCTGCACAGCTGGGAAGGGCAGACTCTGACCACAGAGGAAGTGGTAAACAACAGCTGTGGATGCCAGCACTGAAGAGCAGGCTGGGCCAGTCTGTCTAACCCATTGCAGACTGGTGGCAGTGTTTAAAAATTAGACTAACACGGTTCACCAGGAGGTGGGCTTCCAGGATTAAAAACAAGATCAGAATTTACTTTTACTTTGTTTCTTTTTATCTTTAGTATATGTTTGGAATATATTGCAATTCTAACCATGGATCATTTATCCTCCCTACCCCACTGCCCTCCCCGGCATTCATTCCCATGTTAGTCCTCCCTGGTCAGCCCTTGGCTGGTGCTCTACCTGGTGGGGTGGACCCGGATGTTTTCCCAGAAACCTGTGACTCCGTGGGCCTGGGCCATTCAAAGGAGGGTCTTCGGCAGCTGTTCATTCATAGCTACCCTGACCATCAGTGCTCTGAGTACCATGACTGGTTCTCCTCTGCATTTTGTGGCAGCAATCCTCATGAGAATTTCCTTTTTTTAAACTTGTTGATCTGCTGCTATGTGAAGCTTGACATATCCAAATAGTAACTGTAGATTTAGGTTTAGTGAAAGCCATAGGCTCACAAGAACATTCCAACCCCCCCACCACACATGCGCCCTTGAAAAGTGTACCATATGTTTCTGCAGAGCCTAAAGTCATAGGGACAGGAAGTGGATCATGTCCCATGATAGTGACAGGCAGGCACCATCTCCTCCCCACTGGGTTCTGTGCTTCTCACATGCACGTGTTCTGGTTTTTTGCAGGCAGAGCTAAGCAGTAGTAGAAACCCTTTACTGTAGAATTTGGCAGTTCTCATGATGAAAACGCCCCATTGCCAGGTTCCTGGCACCGGGGTGAGGTTATCTGGCCTCAAAAATTCCTGAAAATGCAGTCAGTCTTTTTTAGCAGCTGTTGTAAGCTGGCTCCAGTACATTGCACCATGATTCAAAGAAGCACAGGGAAACACACGCACTACCTCCTGGCAGATGGCACCCTGTCTCCAGGCTGGAGCCTCACTTGCAGTGCAGGAGAGGTCTGCAGTTTCTGTCAGGCTCCCAGCTTCCAGACAGCATATGGCAGGCTCCGAGCCTTCTCTGGTTATGTATCTACTATTGAACTTTCTTTGCCAAAGAATGGGTTGCTTTACCTAAGAGGATGTTGTGTAGGATCCCATAATGAAAAAAATCCAACAGCATATGAACTCAGTGTTAATGATATTGCATGAGGCACTAGGAAAAAGAAAATCCCATCCCTGGATTATGTGTCAGTTATAAGAAACACAAAGGTTCCCTTTCTCCAGGGAGATGGATGCAATATAATATTTTATACCAGGTCCTCTCCTGTCTTCTGTGCAGGAATCTTGGTGGGCCTGTTCCCCTTGGGTTGCCCCTGTACCAGTAGCAATAGCTGTGTTGCAGTAGGTGAGGAAGAGCGTGTCCCTTTAGTTCCATGAGTATCCCCTCCCCCTACACTTATAGCACCCCCCAAGCCCCATTCAGAGCCAAATGACGTCCAGAGGGCAGATGCTGTTATCCCTCTTCCTGTGTGAGGACCCTGACTCGTGAGCATCGACATGAACCAGAGATGTGTGCACTGCTGCTTTTTCCCGTGGGTCTGACCCTGGTTTCTTGTTCACAACTCTCGGCCTGAGCAAAGTCTTCCTGTCCTGCTCCTTCTCCTTCAGGGCCTTGGCCGGCCAGCCATGCCCCTCACTGCTGCACAGAGGCCGCGTGTTATCTTACCCCAGGCTACCCATTCCTGCATTCCAAGTCGGTGAGCTGGTACACTGGCTGCGAAGCCCTTCGGCGTCCACTCATGGACAGATTCTCCCGATGTGGGCTGCTTCCTCCTAGACAGAGCCTGCAGCTTCTGATTTGGCTGTGCTGTGACTTAGGGTTTTCACTGCCAAGAGCTAGGAGAAGAGATGGGATCGGGCGGCGTGGAAAGTGAGTGCCATCTTTGATGGTCTCCAGAGGAGGAAAAGCTGCTGTCTAATAGTGGGAAGGAGCTACATCTCCCTACCCGGATTTTCCACGTTGATTTGCGTCACCTCAAATCTCCTCATCCTAGTCTTTGGGTTTCGTTCCTTGCTTATTAATCCCCTGACTTTCTGCATAGAAATTGGCGAAGGGCATGGATGCGGCATTTTTGTAGTTAAGCGTCTCAAGAGCAGCTGCTGGTCCTAATTTGTAGCTCGCATCAATCCTCCTGCAACAGGAAATGAGAATCCCTTCATGAGTTGGCATAGAGCTCATCTGGCTTGCTCTCTGTGCTCTAGGTTCTGTAGCTGGCTGGTCTGAGGCTGTCTTCATCTTCAGTGAAATTTGGCAACCATATGACTCCTAGCATTTAGGGTAATATTGTCCTTGTGTCTCCCAAGGTTTAGTGCATTCTCTTCCGTCTCCAGTCTACTTGGATCACAGGAGATGGAAACTGAGCCCAGGACTGTTCCACCCAGGTACCCAGAGAGTCTCCTCTGTCATACAGTTGCTGGGTGATTGAATCGCATAGGATCTGCTTACCAAGGTGCCAGGGTCACTGCCAGTGTCCCTTTAGGTTGGGTTTCCCCAGAAACCATAACTAAAAGAAGGATTCAAGCACAAGAGAAAGTAGCTTGTAGAAAGTGTGTTAGAGAAATGTGGGGATTGAAGAGAACTCATGAGTGATGCCTTGTCAAATAGGTGCCCCCTCGAGCCAGTGGCTCCGGTCCTCTGGGTAACTTGGGGAGCAAGTGCAGATTACATAAATGAGAGTTATCCCTTCTGCGGGGACATATGCTGGGGTATATAATATTGATGACTGTTCCTAAGAGACACCAATTTGCTGTCATCTCCAGCCAGCCGGGTGCAGTGGGGGAGGGCAGCCTGCGGTCTCAGGCACAGGAAGAGAACTGTGAACAGAATACCCATAGCACCTGCCAGAGTGAGGTGCAAACTGGACAGCGGTACCTATGGGGACCCTCTAAAAGAATTTCTGATGAAGCCTCCTTCGGATGTGTTTCATACTTTCAATCTCTGACCAGCAACCGGTGGCTCTTACCTATGCAAAAGACTTGCATGGGATTGACATTGGAATTCTTAGTACTTAACAAATTTTGAAGACCATTACTTTTCCTAAAAATACTACGGTTTTCTAATGTGCATTTTTGTAGAGAAAACTGTTGAGTCACTTCTTAAGAGGCACAGTTATTCAGAAACACATTGCAACCTGGTGGTTTCTGTGGACCAGGTTAATGCAGACTTTACTAACGCCTGGGTGGCTTTTTATAAATTCTGTCTTCCCTGTCCTTGATCTGGGGGTGAGGGGTGACGCTTGACCATGTGAGCTAAGAAGCACGTAGGAAGTGTAACATGCTGCCCGAGAAAGAACTGGGAAGCACT